CATTTCAATCATTATTTTATCAAAATCTAGAATTGTTCCCCATTCTGCTTAAAACATTCTTCATATCATGTTAATCCCTGTCAATCATACAATGCCTTATTTTATTCTAAAACTTTTCATATCATTTAAACTTCCATAAATTCTATCAGACCATGTCTATTTTCATCACATATAGTTTTCTACTATATTTCTCCTTTCTTTTCCCTACATGCCAGTTCCTTCATTATCCTCTCCTTTCTTTTCTCAAACATGCCAGTTCCTTCATTATCTAACCAGTACATGATTGTTTGAACAATCCCCACACACACATGTCTCACACACCAACCTTTTTTGTTTTTTTCACTTCCCTCTTCCACCAAGTCTTCATATCACAGTTCCCTCTATTTCACACAGACAGCCTTATTGCTTCTTGCTACTTCAATCCTTGTCATATAAATTTAAGTTCTATAGACATCTAATGTCATGCATCCATTATCTGTTCACATTTTTACACACATGTTGAACGCAGCCACAACAACCTTTTGTCCCGCTGCCCTGTTCCACTGATTCTCGCACACTCTTAGTCTATTTGTGCTCATGGTAGCTCATGATCATGGTATTTTCTCAGTTTTTTTCCCAATATCTAAAACATACATTTTCCCCCATACTTTCCTAGTTCTTTCCTAGTTCTACAGAAAACCGGTGTATCAAATTTCGCAAGCTTGCTTTTGAGACATCCCCATACTGGCTGTTTTCTGTTCTCTGTGGATTTCTCTTCAACGCGCGTTCTCTTGGTCTGAAAGGCGTCCCTCCCAGACCCGATTTTTCTTTTAACCCAAATCGGTCGGGTTGCACTATTAGTGCCCTCCTAATTATGGTTTACCAAAAAATCTTTTCTGGTTCCCCCTAATTAGCCTCAGCACCTAAAAACAATTTGCTCCGTGGTGGAACAACTAATTTTCAGGGTACCTATCTGTTTGAAATCTCTTGATCTGTTACAGTTCTCACTTAATCCCAGATTATTTATCTGCTTGAAATTTCTTGTTCTGTCACAGACCTCAATTAATCTCAGATATTTTCTCTCGTATCTGTTTGAAACCTCTTGATCTATATATAGATCTCAATTAATCTCAGATTACGTACCACAGAAACAGCCTTCAGCCAATATGGTTCAATTTCACTCTTCTCCCCAATTAAACTGAATTTAATTAACTTACCCAAAAGAAAATAAATTGAACTGTCTCTTACCAGAGATGCTTCTGTTGCCACCTGCGGGTTCTTTAGGTTCCAGTGGTCGATTCTCCCGGCCCTGATATCGGTCGGCCCCTCTCTCTCAAGTTTACGAGGTAGAGCTGGAACTTACTTAGCCCAGGTGGCCAAACACCGTCCGATCTCAGGTCCAGGAGGCACGTCCAAGGAATATCACTTCTGACACCAAAACTGTTGTGGCAAAAATTCATCTCAAACACACATCACTGCGTAAGAGACACTCATAGTCAAATTATATAAAATAGAAGTATTTATTCTTGCAAGAATAGGAGCAGTCTAATACACAGTTGTTACCCTGTGCAGAAGAGTGACACACCCCCAGACAGACTGAACTAGCTTTTATCTTAGTTTCAAGGCCTTCTTCCCCCCAGAGCCTTCCTCCCAGTAGTTTTCCATAGACGTCACTAGTTGGCCCCATAGGCCCCCCTGCACCCAAAATGGCCTTCTGACATCTAGGTCAGAGGTCCTTGTTCGTCTGTTCTCTGGAGTGTCTCCCTCTTCTGCCTCCCCAGGTACATAAACAGAATCTTCTCTCACTACAAGTGAGACACACATGTGACATTCTTTGAATCATCTATATTTTACTAAAGATCAATGAATATCATTAAAATTGCCACTACAGGGTTTTCACCTGTAATACTTTGTTTGCTTGCTTCAGCATATCGTTATGTGGGTTTTCTGAAATAAGAAATTGGTAATGTTATGAATATAGAAAGTGGAAACACATTAGCTAACACACTACAGACAGTGTTATTTTAGTATCATTGGGATACTAGTATAGTTTTTTATTTATATTCAGAATTAGTATTATTTTAAGTTTAATTTTAGTAAAGTTAATGTGCGTTTTTGTCATTTTTATAAGCCAAAATAATATACGTTTAAGGTTTTTTATATTTTATTTTTGGTAATGTTTATTTTATTTTAAAAAAATTTTTGCAGAATTTATTAATCTAGGTTTCAGTTTGTTCACATATGCATAAAAATGTATTAGTCTAACATACTGAATGTAAATTAACACGAATAAATGTTTTCAACGTATTGTTAACACGAATAAATGTTTTCAACGTATTGTTGCATTAACTAATGTTAACATATAAAGCAGCCTTATATTGAGAAGTATTACTGATTCAATTGAGTGTACTGTCCATTTGTGTCAGATCCTCAGGCACATTTGGCCTTTACAGTGTTTGTTTTCATTGGCGTTCTGCCGCTAGTGCGCTGGTGTTTAGCTCCGCCCACATGTGAATCGCGCATCCTGATTGGTCCGCACAGCGCCCAATAGTAATGCACAACAGCTGGCAAGAGAAACCCATGGTCTCATTTTCATGAAAGCTTTGAGCGGCTTCATCAGCCAACATTCGTCTCATCTGTAATCTTCACTTCCTCCGTGATCCCTCCTTTAATCTCTCTCTCTCTCTGCAGTTCTGTAACCAGAGGCTCGTTCTCTCCGCTGTCCCTTCGCACCCAACATAACTGATCCCAGATCAGAGATAAAGCGCACAAAGGTCCCGACCCTGAGCTTTGCCCTG